TGGCTGCATGGACATGGCCCCTCAGCCGGCGGCCGCAGCCTGTCGAGTGACTGCTTCCACGTGAGAGGACTGCAAACCACTCGTCAGGAGATGAGACCAAGTCCTTGTTGTTTTGCTTGTGCATGGGGATGATGTGGAAGCAGGTGATGAAAGGCTGAGGGAGCTGGACTTGTTCAGCCTGAAGAAGAGAAGGCTGAGAGGGGACTTTATAACTGCTTATAAATGTCTCAAGGGTGGGTGTCAGGAGGATGGGGCCAGACTCTTTTCAGTGGTGCCCAGTGACAGGACAAGGGGCAATGGGCACAAACTGAAGCACAGGAAGTTCCGTCTGAACATGGGGAAGAACTTCTTCCCTCTGAGGGTGACGGAGCCCTCTTCCAACCCCGAACATTCTGTGATTCTGTCCGCGGGGAACACCGATGACATTGTCAGTGGGGGTTTCCATGCTCGCCCACAGACCCGGTGGCTGCTGGGCGCTTGCCACCCCTGTTGGCGCAGCTGGGCGTGTGTCACGGTGACTTGCCTCACAGAGTTGTTAGCCCTCCACAAATAGTTAAATTATTAAATAATACTCCAAAATCTACTTTGTCCAAGTAGAATACCTTTACAAAACAAAGAAAAAAGTTTAAAAATAGTCTGTAAAGATTTTAGTTGGTACCGTTGCACACACAGTGCTGAATGGACGAAGGGTTTGAATGAGCGAAGGCAAATTCTCACACTGTCTTTAACAAAGAGTGAATAGCAGAAAGATGTGCGGACATTCCTGCGGTGCAGCCACCTCAGCACTGACCCACGGCATCTTGAGGCCTTTTCCTGCGTGGGTTTTCACTCCTGCTTGTGGCGCCAGCCTGCATTTGCAGGGGTGTTTGTCAGGTGGGAAATGCGAGTTGTAGTCGAGCTGGGAGACTTGGGGGGTGCACAAGCCGGTGTGGGCATCTCTGAAATGAAAAACGTGTTTGTCCGTTCACAGTTGGGTTTGTGAATGGCACATGTAGTGGCCGTTTGAAAGTTAAATAGAAAACTGGTAGATATAAGCTAGGGTAGGTTATAGATGTGAGACAGAGTATGAAGTAGTTTGAGTAATTTTCACCAGCAGGTTTATTTAAAAACTTACGTGTTGTATATAGAAGAATTTCTGTGCACAGCCCCTGCCTATACTTAGGATTAGGTTGAAAACTACTGGTTTATAAATGTTTATATTCAATGTGTAAGATTCTTTACTACATGCACATTGTCCAGTAATTTCACTTTTTTTAGAGCACATTTGCCTTTTCAGATATTAAAATTACGTGGCATAACTAACTGTGTAATTGATTGTAACCTTACCTGTTGTGATGTGTGTTGGCTTTGAACAAAGGTCCTGGATTCTTAAGGGTTTTCTCCATTCCTTTTTGGGGGAATGTAAAGGAAAAAATGAAATAGTTCTTTCATAATATTCAGTAGAAAGAATGGATCAACAGGTTCGTACAAAATTATGTCGCCTATACCAACAGTCAACTGTTCCGAAACCATTCCTGGTACAGCTCTGTGTGTTCACTTTTGCTTAGATATAACCCTGGAAGTAGGAAATCCTGAAGTGTTTATTTTTGCCTACTAAGACAACAACTCAGTTTTACAATGGAGTTGGCATCATAGACTTACACAAAAGTAGTTTTTTAAATTTATAGTGTGTCTTTTTTTTTTTTTTTTTTTTTCACAGTCCTTTAAACTCCTAGGATTTCTTGATGTTCAAAGTGTCCCATGTGCACGAGAATCAGTGCTGTATGGCTCCCTAGGATCTTTTGTTGTGGGTCTTGGATATTTTTTAGCAACTAGTAAGTACTTATTCCTTCTGTATTTTGTATATTTATTTGCAAGGATAAATTAATTCCTATTTGCTGTTAGGTTTTATTAATAATGGCAAGTCATCCGAGATTTTTTTCTCTTGATTTTTTGGAGGATTTTTGTTTTTCTTTCAGGTAGAGTTAGAAGATCTTGTGACTTTGCAGTTGGTGGCTTTATTTGCACAATGTTAGGATACTGGTATGTAAAACACTTCTCGAATTTTGACAGACCTGTGTTGGCTGCTTTGTACAACATGATCCCCATGTGACCTTTCACACCGTTTTTGAAACTCCATGACAAACTTGCCTAGCAAAGCGTCCTCTTCCTTCTCCCTGAAATACTTCTTTATTTTAAGGGAAAAGGGTTCAATGCCTTTCAATTCTTATATTAAATATTTTTTTTTTAATTTGTTACTGTTTCTTGAATCCTAAGAGATGAAACCACCCAGTTACTTCCGTCTTTCTTAAGTCTTTTATTTTTTGCTTAACACATGCCATCCTTCTGTCCTAATTACAAAGCAAGCATACTAAATGGTCAGGAAATTAAGATCCAAATTACAGAAATCGGTGTCTTTCTATTGGACTGTATGTCCCCGCTCCTCAGTGGCTGCATAATGTTTGCCTGAAAGAAATAGTAGTTACCCTTGTATTTTCATTATGCATTCCTGATGAATTTTACTAGCATTATTATATGTGGGTTTCAACTTTTCAACTGGCTGAATAACTCTAACTTGATGCTGTCACACATATAAAGCAGGGAATTGTGTTTTCTTTTCATCCCCTCTAGGGTTTACTGCAGGTACAACTTGGCCCAACAAAGGATCCGACAAAGAATGATTAAAGAAGGAATGAGAAACAAAATTGTATTTGAAGGCAGTTCTTTTGATCCAGAAAGAAAACAAACTGGCAATGAAAGAAGCGATTCATAGCCTGCTGTAGAGGAATCTGTGGTCTAACGCAGCTTTGGGAGAAGGTGGTCCAAAAATGGCAGTATTCCCTGTAAATGTGCGAGGTGCCCAAAACTGATAAATCATGCTGGTTTGCCTGGCCAATCCGAGCAAGAAATTCATAGCGACTCCATTAAGTCGGTATACAAGCCTTTCTTTGTTTCACATGCGTATGTTTGTATGTGTGTGACTACCTACAGGGTTAGGAATGACCTCCTGTTAAACATCTGGGAACTGAGGTGTTCTGTTGCAGGGTCTCAGAGGATTAATGGTGGTGTTTGGGGACGGCTTTAACTTCCATTATGAACAGAATGGTTCGTTTTAGCAAGTTGTAATTACATTTAACTACAGGAAAAAATATTCATCTGCTGTTCTCTGAGTAAATGTATCCTTTGGTGGTACTGTATGTAAATTGTGCTGTTCGTAAAATGGGAATATTTGAACAGCAGGTGAAGGCTTTGCTTGTGCAGGGTGGGTGGTATCCATACCCTTTGTAGGATTTCTGCTGCAGAATCACTTCAGATAATTTATATACACTGTGAAGTTGAAGGGTTTCCATTTTTGTTCTGTCTGTGCAAAACTAAGAATAAAATCACACTTCAGAAGCAGCCTAAGCTGTGCAAGTAGCTAATCTTTTGACTTGATTGAAGATCTTGCTCTTCTATTTAAGACATTTCCTTACAGTTGGTGGAATAATAATTTACGTTATTTGTAAGTAGCAGTGGTCAGTAGCTTTTTTTTAAAAAAAAGGCTTGTTCTTCTTGTGTATTTCACTGTACATTTTCAGTTAAAAGAAATACCACTATCTAATTTCAAGGAAACCATCTTACTTGCAAATACAGCATTGGATCTAATTGCATATTTATAAAAAGAAGGGTGGCATGATACTCCTTGCTTGCTTCTGCCTACGCCGGTGACACAACGTATTTACCTTCTTTCACAAAATGATCTGTAGTATATCATGCTGTAAGCACTTTTTGCTCTAAAGGCGTTCACTGAGCAAAAATAGCCCTTTCCCCCCACCCTGTGCTTGGTCTGAGATAGTTTGTGATCTGTTGTTAAGTTAGGGGGAAGGTTCGGAATCCAGGTGCTTATTTAATTTGGAAATGTACATGAAAGCACTAAACAAACATGCTATATACACTAAGAGAAATGAACTTTTACCCTCTGTGGATTAGCCTCTTGCAAGAAGAAAACAAACCTGTATACTTTCCTTTTTTTCCTCTATTCCCCCCTGTTTCTTCTGGAGGAAACAGTAAAGGTAAATTTTAGGGAGGCCGTTGAGTTCAGTAGTTTCATATAAAAAGTCTCCAGAAAACGTTAGTGCAGTGAAACACTTTCTGTCCTGCTGCAAAATCTAAGCCGGGCAGTTAACTGGTAGCTAACTCTAAATCAGAAGAGAGAAATGTTTCCCTCGGTTCTGTGCTGGGGGGAGGGAGGCTCCTTCCCTTTGGATGGGGCAGGAGCTGCTGCCTCGTAACGCCTGCGCAGTGGCCGCAGGAAGCGGCGTGAGCCGTGGGTCAGGGCTTGGCAGGCTCCTCGTGGTACCTGGTGGAGTTCTTTCCTGTCTGACCTAAGCCAAGGAGCCACAGCTGAAGCAGGGGGTCTGCTGGCTGCGAGGTCAGAGTTCCGCTGAGGAGCTGGGAGACAAAAGCATGCAGGTGAGAATTTACTCTTGGGCAAAGAGCAGTTGTAGAGGAAACAGAATGCCGCTTTGTAGTGACAGCAAAGAAGTTAGCGTGCGCATGATGGCACCCTTCAGAGCGCACGAGTACTGCCACGACGTCAAGAAAAAAACAGAAGCGTCACAAAACTCTGCAAATGAAAAAACGTGGGGAAAACTGCAGCATCAGATCCTCTCCGGTGTTAACTGGGGGCGGCTTAAGCTGCTGCATTTAGAGATCCTGGCTCAGCAGCAGCTTAACTACGGTGTTAGCAACTCTGGCCAGTAACTACGCAATCCGAGATGTGCCTGCGCTGCGCAGATCACCCTTCTGCCTCGGCGCAGAACGCGAAAGGAGCGTGCCAGATGTGAACTGAAGAAATGGGGCGAGAGGCGACGCGCAGGCGGTCTGGCCGACGCGTCCGAGCTCCATGACGTGGTTATGTGGTGGAGGGGAGGTGGAGTGGAGCCAAGGGGCAGTCGGAGGCTCTGCTGAGCGGGGCGGGGGGCTGTGAGCAGGGCTGGGGTGGCCTGAAGGGAGGGCCCGCAGGAGCAGAGGGAAGAATGCTCGTGGTTAAACGTGCAGGGGGGGAACCAGAAGCCTGACGTCATTCCCCACAGCGCCGGCTCCAGCTGCTGCTGCGCCAGCTGTGGAGAGTGGAGCACAGCTGGCGGGGGGGTTCCAAACCCATGCTGGAAGGGGGAGGGACAGCACTAAACACCCAAATCTCAAAGGTGTTTGTTGTCACAAATTAGGGATATGTTCCCAAGAAAACTGTAGTAACTTAATAGAAGTAATTTTAACATTTTTAAAAATTTCCTAACTTTTTTTCAGATTAGTGAGCCATATCCCTGTTAATGCTAATTTTTTACATTGAAGTTGTCGGTGGCAACACGTAGCGTGCATCTGTGGTTTATTACCGGACTTAGAATCATAGAATCATTAAGGTTGGAAAAGACCTCTAAGGTCATCAAGTCCATCCGTCAACCCAACACCACCATGCCTGCTAAACCATATCCCAAAGTGCCACATCTACAGGTTTTTTGAACCCCTCCAGGGATGGGGACTCCACCACCTCCCTGGGCAGCCTGTTCCAATGCCTGACCACTCTTTCAGGAAATAAATTTTTCCTAACATCCAATCTAAACCTCCCCTGGTGCAACTTGAGGCCATTATTATTGATATCTTTAAGTATTATCGCCAAGGACAGACACGATAGTTCTTGCCGTATCGAGGTTCGGAATATTCCTCAAAACTTACCAATCAGTTACTGGAAAGTAAGAGAAATTAATTGTGAAGATGTTTGGTTTTCAGCCCTCTGAATGAGCCTTAACGAGGAGAGAAGGAAGTATAGCAACTTTAAGCTGTAACATTGCTAAAATCCCGTTTATTTTACTGGCAGTTACACTCCTTGGTCTCTGAACTGTGGCTGACGATCACACGTAGTTTTTATCCGTGAAGTCAACAAAAGCCTCCCTTACAGCAATCTGAACCTCCTCCGAAACAGGCCGCCAGGTCTGCAGCCCCGCTCCCGCAGCGGCGATGCTCCTGGGGAAGGCAGGAGAGGCAGGGGAGGCAGTGGCAGCTGTCACCCCAAACCCGTCGCTCATGTCCCGGCCCAAGCAGAGATTTCTGGGAGACGCCGCTGGCTTCTCGCTGCGCTTTGCAGGCTTCCAGGGTGTTTCGGGTGTTGCCCCCACC